TTAGTCAATTAATTGACAATTGATTCAAATTATTCATCCTTGTATAGATGATTACTCATTTTCTTAATAAATGAATCGGAAAGCTTTATCAGTGCCTTTTTTTTTATCAACGATAGTTTACTAAGGTAAATTTTTAAATGTTAAAAGAGAAAGAGATCGAATTTGCACCAAGGTACTTAAGTAATGTTATTTTTCATCACTGTAGTCTCGCCGAAGATTTATTTCAATTTACTACTAGAAATTTTAAATTGCTCTAAGCTTAACTAGCTTTTTATAATGTGTTGGCAGAGTCAACGTGGGGTTGTTGGTAGCCCTTACCCTAACATCTTCAAAAACCCCACGTATATTTATATGTGTATTGTATTTGGCCTCTATAAATAGTTGAGGCAAACTAAATTACAACCTCCTCTTTCTCCTACTTTTATTTTCTTCTATCATATATGTCTTCCTTTTCTCGATTCTTGTGTGGAACTCTATTGTGCGCACCATGTGCTCAATGAAATACCTTAGTTGACAGGCCTTGCCAGTGTTCAACATTACTTCACAGCATCCTGCATCAATCCTCGACAAGCCTATATAAATAATAATAGTTGTAGACATATGTTGGCAAGAATTGACAGGTGCCTACCAGATGCTCGACGAGATGGCCAAATAAAGTTTTTTTGGTTGATAATATGACCCCATTATTTAAAAATATTAAACGAGCAGCTTAGATAACTTCAGTGAATGAAGGTCAATAATTAAAAAGGCTCACTCTTAGCTAATTAATCAAAAACAGGTTTGAAATAAGATATGAAGGATGTTGAAAATGTACATTCGCCTAGACTGACAGAGTTACAGCAAAAAGCAGAGACAAAGATTTACAATTAACAAAAGCTACAATCCAGCCAATTTTCCTAATATTGATCTGGCTAAAAAGGTTTTATTTTGCTCGACTACTTCAGTCAATGTAAGCTTGTGAGGCTTCAAGAACGGAGAACATTTGTTGACTAAGCATAACAAAAAGTTCCCAAATTTCAGAGAATTCGAAAATATTTCGGCCAATTGCTGAGCCTGGTAAACAATATGATCAACTGAACTCTGCGTTAAATGAACATTATGATTCAAAATGCTTTGGAGCAGGGTAAACAATGATTCTGTCCATACCATTTTATCGGTTATCAGATATCGGTGGCAAGGGAGACAGATGACTCTCCTCTCATCTTTTTCTCCGCACAGGAGCTTTTGACAGAAAGAAGAAGCATGAGCCAGGTGCAAACTTTCCTTGATGATCCTCGCGATCACATCATATGGGATTATTGATGCCATCCTGTCGAAGAATCAGTGGAAATAAGAGTGCATATTCACAGGCCCTTTGATGGAGTTTGCAGTACTCCACTGTTGCAGTCACTAGCACTCGAGAAGCTGGTTCCTCGAGTACCAACAATTTGGGAAGGATGACCGAGCACAGAACCTGGCTTGCCCAAGCAAGCTCTTCTTCACTTCCGCTTGTTAGATGAGAAAGTAGAATTGAAGCAGTCTCGTCATCAGCTAACCATGGTTCAATCAGACCCAAAATCGTCAAAGAATCTCCTCTCTTGTCTAAGCAAAGTTTGCGAATTTCATTCGCTAAGCCTACAGTTTTAGAAGTTGATTGAAAATCCGCAACCTGTGCTTTCAAACTAACTGCCATCTTTTGAATTTCAGGCTCAAGATGAACACTAATTGGATCATCAATATTCATTTCCTCCAAAACATCATTCATATCCACATCTTCATCCTCTTCAACTTGACTCGACGACTCATCACTGTTTTCAGAATTACAAGTTACTGTCCTCGAATTCAATTCCTCAGGCGATACAGGAAGCCAAGGTAGAACCAACTCACCAAAAGCCCCGGAATCCTTAAGACAACCCGGCAAGGATTCAAATTCATCCTCCTCGAATTCCAAACTCAAGCCACTAATCCACTCATAACTTGAATCGGACATTCCATCGAGCAGATTGCGTGCAGCCCTCTGAACCCAAAAATCAAGTTGCTGACTTCCATCCAACACAGTCCTCGCCAGCCTCGCCAGGTCCCGACTGCAAAACCTCTGACGCTCCAAACCCAGAAACGAAAGAATCCGCGACTGAACCATGTTCGGCAGAGTCTGTATAAACATCACCCTGTTCACCAAACCTCAGAATCAGTCGCCAAACCACATAAAAATTATCGAAAAATAAAAAATGGGTTTCGACCCTTCACCTGTTTGTGCTTGGAGGCCAAGCCGAAGACGAGGGAAGAGAATCGTCGGCGACTATCGAGTCCAGAGGTTTCATCAGCAACGAGAGGAAGGAGCCGGTGGTGATTGGGGTCGCCGATGACGATGAGGCGCTGAAAGATTGGTTTAGCCACGCAGAAGCTTCGGATTCGGGAGTCGGGGAGGTCAAGAAGATGTCGAAGAGTGGGACCCATTGCTCCATTTCTCCCGCTCCGGCTCTGCAACTCTCTGTTAGGTTTTGGGGGTTTTAGGAATCAAGGGGGTATTGAAAGGTTAATAAGACGCGGGAAACTCAAATGGTCGTTTTACCAAACAAATGATTCGTGCATGAGGATTTAGTTTGTACTTGTTGCCAACACGGTCTAATTAGAACAATAATTTAAGGCTAGAATAATTTGGTTACCAACACGTAGACACGTCATGTGTAACAATTCTTATAAAAACATAAGATTTTTTTATATAATTTCCACATAAATTCACGTCAATTCGATTCATGTGAGAGTTGTTCTAGTATTGAGTTTCTCTCCTTAGTGCTTGAAATTTGCACTTTCTTGTCCAATTATTTGTGATTAACGAATTTACACAGCATAATGTCATATTCTACATCATTTTTATAATAAATAATTAAATTTCAGACCGTTCACTCATATTTCTATACTAAACAAATGAACAATTATTTGAAACTACTAATTACTTAATCATAATATAAATAACTAAATAATCTCTATTGATTTATTTTTTGTACCATGAAAATTCTGATCACAACTGCATGAATTAAAATGACTAACATGACATTGATACACAAACATTGTAACATTCCATATTAATCTTAAAATAACTTGTTTAATTTCTTGCATAAAATTATATTATTAGCAAGAACGCCATATATATTCGCTTTGTGTCAAGTGATCTTAGGAGGACTTATGAAGGAACACTTGAAAATAAAACTTTTTTTCACTGACATGTAGTGTAGCATCTCTTGTGTTGAATATGTTGAAAATTTTTCTCCAAAATAGCCTTGGTAAATGTGAGTTGGGATGTGATATTTCCAAGTACCAATCAAATATATGCAACGTGAAGGCTTGAGCCTAGGTCACGTGGCAAGCATGTTGTATTTACCGTGAAATGGGGATCCTCGCCGATTCTTCTCTGTGAGACTTCTAGAAAACTTCAAATCACATTCCTTCAATGTACATTGTACATTCAGAAATCATTGTAATTTTTATTTAAAATTGAATAAAAACATTACTTAATGAAAATTGATCGCACAATATATAATGAACATATATAATTAAAAGATTCTTATAATCATTATAAAAAAAATCCGGCGACAATCCTCTCGTGCTCGGGAGTTCTGTCGTCTTGACTTGAGTGCGGTTGGGGCGTGTTAGAAATCGCGCTAAATGCGCTTTTGCTTTGCGGATAGCCGAGAATCGCGGTTTCACCTTTTTCTAGTAATTTCAACGGCATGTAGTAAAGTTGGACACTTTAGAAATTCTTAGATGGATACGTATCAAGGGGAAAGATGTATTAAATTCCATGATAAGTCGTCCAACTCATTTAATCAAATTTATTAATATTTCATTATCAAGTAAACTTCAAGTTATTTTCATGAATAATTACCTAAAGCGAGTTTATTCTGAGAATAATGTTTCTCTTTTTGTTTCTTAATTACTTGAAGCGGAAATTTAAAAACTAATAAACGATCGGTCTGAGGTTTGGATGACGACACAATTAACATTAGAGATTGAGATGACCCATTACTTGATCTTTGTTTTCTAAATACTAATGTCATCCTAAGGTTTGGATGGGTTGTTTTTACTTTTGGTTCTCCATGGAGCGTTTATTTTCAAGAGCAATTTCAGTTACATAGTCGTTTCTACTTTATCTTCTATATGGCCTAGTATTAAATCCATTATTTATATCTTACTTCAGGGGTGATTAGAAATGGTTCTAGTACTTCTCTTTATATTGATAAGTGGTTGAATTCGCGTATTGTGGATGTCATTGGTGCTATTGCGCTTGCTCCTCTATCTCACTTTAAGATCTCAAACATTACTCGAATAGGAAAATGAGTTGTTCCTTTTATTTTATTTTTTTTCTTCTACTTCTCCAGAGTTAGCCAAAGAGATTTTAAAGATGTCTCTTCGAAAGGATGAGGAAAATGACATATTAGTTTGGGAAGCTTGCATCTGAAGGTTTTTTTTTGTTTTTCTGATGGCTATTGAATTGTTCGCCGTCGATTTCTTATTAAAAGATTGGATTCCATTATTTGATGTCGTTTTACTCTACTTTGCCATTATATTCTAGTTTGGAGGATTTTTTTTTTTTTTTAATAAGCTCCCAACGGATGATCAACTTCAACAAAGAGGTATTCATTTTTCTAACCAACTATGTTGCAATAATTCTAAACACTTATATTTAGTTGTGAATTTCCACAACGTACTTCATTTTGGCTTGCCACTCAATTTGGCACTATTCTTAAAAGAAAAATGGTTGAGACGACCTATTATAGGTTGAGGTAACATCGGTCATTTCATTGATGTACGAAGATTATGTGTTAAGAGTGTGTATATTATTTACATGAACAGTGACCAACAGTGCCTCAAATGTATCATGCATTGCAACACATTTTTTTTTTTTTTTTCATATAGTGACGCATATTTCATTTCAAATGTTGTTATCTTAGCGTCTTTATTTTATATGTCTCTCTCAGTCGATCACTTTGGTATCCTCTTTTTGAGTCAGAGTTGTGGTAGTGATTTTGTTTTGTAATTCCTCTTTCTCTAAGCCAGAAATAAAAGTCCTTTATTTGGGGTGTAAACCTTAACCAAGATCACAACCCTACTTACAAATACTCCTCCCATTGCACACAGAAAAATAAGTGCCCCAGCACAAGCCCTCCAAATCCCAAAGCATATAAAACCCAATCCGAACCAAGACAGTTCACACCAAAAACAGAACAAGAAGTAAAGAAACCAACACAAAACCCTTCCCCACCTACTATCCCATCCCACAATCCAATCCAATCCAATCCCCTCCCCCGCGGTCACCCTCTCTCTTCCTCCTCCAAAGTAGTCCTGTCCCGCACCATGGGAGTGAGCAACAGGATAACCGCAACTCTTAACTTCATAGCCCTCCTCTGCGCCATCCCAATAATGTCTTCCGGCATCTGGCTGGCCTCCAAGCCGGACAACGAGTGCATCCGCTCGTTCCGGTGGCCTGTATTCATCCTCGGCGCCCTCATGCTTCTTGTCTGCCTCGCCGGCTTCATTGGCGCCTATTTCAACAAACAGGGTCTTTTGGCTCTCTACCTTTTCTGCATGGCCGCCCTCATAATCCTGCTCCTTGTCCTGCTCATCTTCGCCTTCACCGTCACGAGGCCGGACGGCAGCTACGCCGTGCCCGGCAGCGCTTACAGGGAGTACCGGCTTGAAGGGTTTTCCAAGTGGCTGAGGGACTATGTTACTGACTCTTCGACTTGGCAGAAAATAAGGACTTGTTTGGCTGAGTCTAATACTTGCCCTAAGCTTACACAGCAGTACATGTCGGCTGATCAGTTCGTCTTTGCTCACATCTCTCCCCTTCAGGCTAGTTTCTCTCTCTCAATTTCTAAAATGATTCTCCTTTTTTGGTTCATTTTTTTAGAAAGATGGCATTTTTTACTTAATCTTTTGGTTGAACAGCTTGAAATACAAGTCTTTAATGACAAGTAAAGAACCAGTTATACCTGTTTAGGAGTTAAAAGTGCGGATACTGTTAGAGAAATCAAATTTGAAAATTAAATGATGTGTCACAAATAAAAAGAACAAACACGTTAATCAACATTTAAGTAATAATTTAATTATCAACATCTACATCATTTGGTTTAGAAATTTGGACTCTTTAGTACTATCCTAAATGTATTTTCTAGCAATCAAAAGCATTTATGACTATGTTGAACTAAAAAACTTAAAAACGCTTTTTAGGGTCGTAGAAGTGCATTATAGAGAATTTGTCATGTGTTTTAGGAAGCACCTACTAGAGATTTTCAAGAAAAATTTAGTTTTAGTAAAAGATTTGCTAGTTATAATAAAAATACTTGTATCATAAGTGTTTATGAGTAAAAGTGCTTCTTATGAAAACTGTCTCAAACAAGCCCAAATGCCACTAATTGGTTTCTGTTTTAGCATAAAACAATGACATTATCTAAAGATGCATCCAAACTGTTCTTTAGTTCCTTAATCCTATACTTTCCAAAATGTCACAATCTAAGGCTACTGGAACATGACAGAACAAGATCACTAGAAGTTTAAAAGCCAGAGATTTCCTGAAATTTATATGAGTGCATTTTTTTTCTCCATCTTCAAGTAGTCGTAATGCTTGCTGCCTTAATTCTTATCATTAAATGAGTTTAAATTTTGAGATTTGTGTTTATCTATTATACATATCTCGAAACACAAATCTCAAAATTAAACTTATCTAACAATAATAAATAAAGTGATGAACATCAAGGTAGTGAGTAAAAATATTTTCAAAAGTAGGACCCATCAATTGTGTCTATAACTTTAGCCCACACTACATTGCCCCATATCAACCTTTCAACATGGTCCATGAATTAGCTGGGATCCACTCACCATGATATCTTCTTTCTGTGAATTATTATAAGAAATCTTAGATGGTAGACTTAATTAAAGTAAACAAAATAGCATAATCAGAGACACATTTTGTAACTTTCTATTGAAGGAATCATTGGAGAAGATTAAAAGGAACATCTTGTGGTTGCCAGCGTATTAGACTCGCATGTTGACCAAAATTTGGTGTTGTTTTTGTTTCTAAGGTTCTTCACAAATACGCCCCTCGGAACACTATTTTATAGTAAAACACTTCGACCCCGTTTTAAACTGACCCTTGAACCCAACTGGCATTGCACTCCCGATGACAAGGGTATTTTTTACTGTAGTTTGGTTTCTTTAGTGTTTCTCACTGATATTATCAATTGATTGGAGGCTGGTGGTTGGATATACAGTCAGGATATCGTAAACCTCCAACAATATGTGGATACATTATGTAGTTTGATTTTCAAGTGTTTCTCGCTAACATTAAATATTGCTGCGGGACTATGCTAATTTTTTGTTGTTGGTTTTACAGTCAGGATGTTGTAAACCTCCAACAATGTGTGGATACAACTATGTGAATCCAACACTGTGGATAAACCCAGTGAACCCAGTAGCTGACCTGGACTGCTTGATATGGAACAATGACCAAAACCTCTTGTGCTACAACTGCAATTCCTGCAGGGCTGGAATTTTGGGAAACCTGAGGAACGAATGGAGGAGGGTCAATGTCATCCTCATTGTGGCTGTGGTGATCCTCATCTGCGTCTATCTCGTCGCCTGTAGCGCATTCAAGAACGCCCAAACGGAGGAACTCTTCAGCCAGAACAAGCAGGGTCGGGCTTAACCAGTTTCCAAACACAACAAACCTTCTGTTTGTTTTCAATTTCTTATCTTTTGATGACTTTCGATGAGTCTTTGTTTGTGACTAGTGTAGTCGGTGTACATATTCGTATGTTCTTTTTCTATCTGGACTTTATGGATGGATAGATGATTGACAGGCAGTGAAATTCTAGTAGGAAACTGAGTTTTCAAATACTTGCACACGATTATTTGGTTTAGCGCACGTAGTTCCATTCTATTAGAGGAAGTTCGAAGTTCAAATCACATATACGATAGTTGATGAGGGAGAAAACCTCAAATATGAGAAAATGAGATTTTTTTTTTTTCAATACTACGTAGCATTGAATTACGAGGATGATCCTGGATGTAACAAAAGAGTTGCTCATTTATGACTGAACGATCATAGGTTCGAGTCGTGAAAACAACTTCTTTGCAAAACAATAATAAGATTACTTGCAATAAACGGTCCCCTCCAATTCTCGCAAAGCGAGGAGCTTTGTTGTTAGAATCACTCTTTACTACGAAGCATTGAATGACACGAAAAATGAATAGTTAAAATTGAAAATTAAAGATCTCAACAAATGTAAATATTAAATCTAATCGCTAAAACACCGACAACATTGAAGCGACATCCGAAAATATGAGAATAGATTCTCAATTATCAGCTTTTTTTTCTTTCTTGTTTTTCTTTTAATGGTATAGGATGCTTCTGTTTCAGTGGTTCTTGCAGCTTCTTGGACACAGATCTATTTCTTTTGAATATGTTTGCCAATTTGGCAGCTTTTGCAACTACCCTCACGCGCGCACTCTATTTAAATGCTTTACCATCTAAAAAATGCACCGACTTTGCCGACTAGGGAGACCAACTTTGCAAGGAACAAGGCGAGTAAATTCACGTTTGAAGTATCAAACTTTGGACGGAACAATGCTTTACCATCTAAAAAATTCACGTTTGAAGTATAAAACTTTGGACGGAGTAACTACACCTAAAATGGAAGCTCTAAAGAACGTCTATAGACCTTAAATAATCAACCATGTCAATAGACGGGACCAAAGTTGAACAAAATTGAATAAAAATGAGATTTCTCGAAACGTATGTCTTTTAACAAAGACCGGAGACCTCGTAAAGAGAATACATTTCAAAAAAATGTAATCACTTCAGTTGGTCTGCATGCACATTGGAGTGAAGAATATAAGAGCAAACTTGCCAGGATGACGCACTGGCTATGACAACTACAACAACAATGACAACAAAGCCTTATCACACTAAGTGAGGTCGGTTGTATGAGTCCTAAAATGCCACGCGCTCGGTTTTGCGCCATTGACATAAATTCTGCTTGAAATCAGGCCATCGATTGGAGGAAGAAGAAATTATTTCTCGAATCCGATATCTCTATACTGCAGATAACTTTCTAGAGTATATAAAGTACATGGGATCCGAGCGTCCAGGGTTCGGAGATACATCCACAGCCTGCAGAAAGTAGCATACAGTTTAGAAAACTACTGTTAAGTCTCGACGCCTTGCATTACCCTACATGACTTGGTCCTTGGGTAAACCATGTAGAACTTTGCCCTACTGTTAACATGCTCGATGCTGAGGCCGCTTCCAACGAAGACATCATATTGTTCAAGCAAAATCGAATGTGCAAAAAGAAGGAAACAGGATTATCAGAGAGTTGAAATGTCATAGGTGAAGCTGAGCTAATGATCTGTGCTTTATAGGTCATAAGTAGACATAGTATCCGAAAGAAAATTAGGAGAGAGCAGGTGCTACTTATGTTACTGGAGCAAAATAATAGACGAACTCCCTGAGGCGGTTCAAATCCTCCAGCGTAGTGGAAATATGCCCCCGCAACCAAAGCATGATCAGCATCACTGGTTGATGTCCATATCGAGATTGGTTTAGTCCAGGAACAACGGTTGGAAAAGCTGTTTGTAGACATTTTCGCTATGTTAGAATTCGTTGAGGGGAGACCTGAAAGATTAAAACAACTAGAAAAACTAAAGCGGACGAGATCATAATAGCAACTCCACCAGGCTTAAGAATCCGGCACATTTCCTTGAAAACGTCAAGAGGCTTTGTTAAATAATCGACACTAACCTGCAGTTAGAAATTTCTTCAACTCTGAGAGCAGATAAAACATTAAATCTTCACATCAAGTGATCGGGAACTGAAAAGAATGGTTGCCTCGAGTCATTTACTGAGATGGGGTGAACACAGACTATAGTTTGCCAATTAAACCCCTAGTGCGGATCGACGAATTCATATGGATATGCCGTTAAAGATAACCCAAAAGTATTTTGCCAATCACCGAGATTATATCAGAAGATGATAACGTAGTAAGAGACGGAAAGAGATACACATACCACGTTAGTAATGATATGAAAGGAATTGTCTTCAAACAGAAGTTTGGGGCTCACGTTCAAGTCTTGCACAGAACATTTTGTCAAGACCTACAAAGTTAGATCAATTAGGGGATAGTCATTGAGCCAAAACAAAAACGTAAGAAAGATAACCAATCAAGGACTGATACAATCGAAATTGCAAGAGAAACAGTTTATGTCAACATGTTTAGAATCTAAAACGAGCAAGTGATCATCCGTGCAGCGTCAACATATTTCTACATTAAAGAATTGAGAAAGAAGTACCGGGTTGTGCTTGAGCTCTTCTTCATTCATGCCCATTCCGATTATTCGCTCTTGCTTGTATCCCGGTGGAAAGTGACTGACCTAGATACAGAAAACAGGATTAAGATTCTTTAAATTTAGAAACTGTGCAAAGCTTTACACTAGAACTTAAAGAGACACACTCAACTGCTACACGTCCAGCAAGCTTACTCCCGCAGTGTTGCTAGGAGGAGACACCTTTGAGTAGTACTTGGTCAGTGCCGCATTGGCGTGATCATCAATATGTGTCACAAAGCGTGGAGCCTCATAAAACACCGAATCCGATGACCTGATCAAAATTAACTTCTAGTTTTCAGAACTCAATAAATTTAACATAAATATAGGCTGAACTGAAGGTTCAAGAGCACCTAAAGGCATAAAACACAACTTGGAGGTTTTCTTACTCATCAAAGCGCTGGAAATCCTGAGGCTTGAAGGGAAATTGCTCCGGCCATTCCACATTCTTCAATATCTTTAATTTGACACACTATATTAATTATTAGATTAGACAAATACATTTAAAAGAAAAAAGAAAACTAATGAAAAGGGTTTGAAAACTTTGAGTTTTAATGATAAGAACAAAATAAAGGGTAAAGTAAATAGTACTAGGATTGACTTTTTAGCGTAAAAATATGATTTTTCATTAAAGTGAACAATACAGTGGGTTTTTCGTTAAAACTCCTTTTAAAAAACTCACAACATCAAGCAATAAGTTAAATTTAAGAATTAAGAATAGTTATATACGAAAGAGGCCCAGCAACAATAAAATTGCTATTGTTTTGTGGAATGGGGACTTCTCTAGAGAACGAAGCTATTCTAGGCCAATTACTCACTTTTATTCGTTTGAACTTTCTCACATAGCAGCGGGTGATTGGCTCGGAAAAATTATGACATCCCGTTGCAAGAAATTATTCTGTGGTTTTCACTATCCCAACACTTAACTGTTTCAGGTTTCTAGCTACACAAAATCACTCAATTATCCATAAACTAGAATTCAACATAACAAAATTTAAAATTGAAGAAAACCCAGAAACCATATGACAAAACAGCTAAAAATACCAAATAAAAATCCGAACTTTACAAAGAAATCCAATACCTTTTCAAAAGAAGGGCCACTCTTCAACCTTGCAGAAGCAGTGAAAGATTTCCCGCCAACTGCACCAGACATGTTCATCAATTTGGCCCAAAACGAGACTCTAAGGCCCAAGATTAGACGGTGGGGAGCCCCCTCCACTTTTCCACTTGTTATTTACCTTTGAAGAAATGGGAACTGAGCCAGCAGCACTAGGAATTAAATAAGAAAAAGAACAAGGACATATACCAGCCAAAACTGGCAGCCGATAGAGTCTAAGACCAATGCATTTGACCACGTCACTTATAAGCTTTGTTTGTTGATACAAATATAGAAATGATTCTCTTTGTAACATATCAGAGTAGTGAAATAATTATTTTGCATATAACTAGCTAGCTTTTATATTTCTAGAAGTCAGAGTGTATGCTTTTGTTTTCCGAAGGACTACCGTGGGGCAGTGGCAAAGCCACTAGCTAATACCTTTTTAGATGAAAAAAAAGTCAAAAGTGTATACACCAAATATGTGTAAGAGGTACTAAAATAATTGGTTTCTAGAGAATTTGGGAGCTCAAATATATATATGTCACTACCATTACTTTTAGCACCCCCTTATAAGTTCTAATTTGTTCAATTTTCTTACCATGTAGTTAGAAAATTATGCATTCGTTGAACTTGAATGTCACGATATTAGTATTTCAAAACAATTATGTATCTTTATTATTGTTACATTCTATGTATAGATGATGAATCTTATATATGGACTCAACCCACATTTGGGTTATATGAAACCTTCCTGCTTTCTTTGCATGCTTTCCCATTTTCCAAGTTTCGTTCTCTCTATGAAGAACATATCCTAGTCATTTGCTTTACTAGGAAAAATAAAACTAAAAACAAAATAGTCACGGTTGAAAAGGTTTAATATATGTATCTATCTGTCCTCGTTGAAGAAATTAAAAGGGAAAAGTTTTATGTGTATGAACAAGTTGTACGTATGGTCAATGTTATGGAAAAGATTCATCACCAAACTATTTCAGTTCAATAATGCGATATTATGTGTAAGTTTAGAGTTAAAATTATACTTAATATTATATTATTGGATTGAAAAATCATTATAATAATAAAATTTGTATCATGTTTAATTTTTTTTTTTTTTGTGAAATATGCTGTTCGATTTAAGTTGCTCTCAGATGAGAAAACTTTAAATATCTACAAGAGGTTGGAAGAAGACAAAATATGGGGAGGAAAGGAGGAGGAAGGTTAGGGACAAGGAAGAGTTCCAAAATAAGTGACAACAAAATAGTACCAACTTAGACACAAAGTTCAAAGATCCAATGTTAAATCAATTTAAAGAAAGGCATATGATCCAATTATACATGCAATCATGCATGTGGGCATGTGGGAGAATAGTTCTCATCTAAATTATTATCGTCCAATTTAAGTAGCTAGCCAGCTAG